CCTCTTCTCGCCCCCCCCACTCGCGCGGTCCCGCGCGAGCACACGTTGAAGAGGCAAAAGGGTATGTGGGGTAGCGAGTCAGTGTGTCAGCGTTTCTGGCGTCTCTCCTCGCGGAGGCGCGCATCCTTCCTTCTCCGGCTCTATGTCAGGAATAAGGCCGCGCGTAGGTAGAGGGAGGCCATCTGTTATGCGACGCGGTGGCTCGTGAAGAGGAAAGAGAAGACGAGATCGCGATGCATCTGACGGAAACGTCGCGTCGAGTCGCGATCGCGCGGCATGATCGCGCGCTTCAGTGAAAATTCGATACGCGCGATACCATTAATCGGCGTGATGAATTCAACTCGGAAATCAATCGGACGTTAAAGACTCTCGCAATTAATGCTGACGGGCTTGATTAATCGGGGAGGGAGAAGGGGGGGGGGAGATTGAAGAGAGAAAACGAAACTGGCAGCTCTCGTGGAACGGCACGGGGCGATTGAACTTTATCCTCTGATCCCCTTAGCTGCGTGCAGCAGTCCGTTATGCTTTCTACGAGACTTCCATAAGTTCCTTTTGTCGCGGCATGATTTTCCGCTTTTCTGAACGCGATTATGTGATCGCGGCGGAGCGCTCGTTAGCCGTTGAAATTCAACGCCACGTGATGGCTCCCCCGCGCTGTTAGAAAGGCCAACGAGTGCAATTTCATGCGCTCGGCAAAACGGATCTAGAAACCACTCGTCGACCGACGGACTAGTCGCACACCCTTCAAGAGCAGAGATATTTGCGGAAGTTTCGCAGGGAGCTTTGTTCAATTTTGCACGATTTCAGAGAATCAAAATTCAAGTGAAATTAAAAACTATTCATTTCCGCGTCGTAATTTTCATTGACATTAACGATTTTATGTATTATTAAATTTTACCATTCATAAATTGCCATCTTAATCGTCAATTATTATCGTTTATCGAGTTATAGTTTAATCACATTTTCTAAAGATGAGCTTTATTCAGTATTATTGCAACTTTATACGAAATTGTAATAGAAAATTGAACAATCTAGACTTGGAATATTACACGTATTCGTAGTTCTCTTATTCTCTCCCAAAGATTTGACGTGCGGGCAAACATCTAGCACCGCTATAAATATCTCGATTGCGAGTCCACCGACGCGGTTCGTCCTGCGGAACCTTTCCACTCGAGTCACTTTCACGGGAGCGCAGAATTTGGCGCACGGGCGTCTCATTGGTGTTCCGTGTCGCGTCACATTCTTGCAGGGTTTCACCTGGCGTGTGCGTTTCGCGGTATAACGGTACCGCTGTTACGTCACGAGCCCACACCTGTCACGCATGTTGCGAACAAAGGGTTGCACCACACGGCCCGGTAAAATAATAAGACGGCGAGGAGGGGCCCGGCCGTGTCGCATCGGATATCTGATTTCCGTAACGGGCAGCTCGGGCGAGAGAGTTTTCTCCGTGATACACGGCGGGTACTTTTTCTTTTTGAATACTTTGGACCGCGATTAAACGTTGATTATCGCAAATGTAGGCAAATTAAGGGCTTGCTCTTCTAAAGAACTCTTTTTACCGACGTTAATTAACATTAACTTTTTGTTTAAAAAAGTTTAGTTTAATCTACGCTTAGAGAGGTAATGAATATTGATAAAATTAATCGAAAATTATAATAGGAGTAAATGATAGAAAATTGAAAGGAAAAATTTATTAACAATTTTATACTAATTATTTGACGCCTAAGTTGATTTAATCGAGAGAACTCATGTTCAAACGTGCGTGGAAAATAAAAGAAACTTTATCACAAATTTACAGTGCTATTAACACACACATTTGATTTAAGAGCATTAACTACGCAAATCACGAAATATTCGATATTCGCGGAGGTCTTTTTCTTAACTCGGCTTGATGCGATTGTGTAATCAGCTGCCTGATTAGCGAATCAACAATAATTATGCACCGATAAGAAATGAGGTCTCACCTATTGCTTCCTCGCGCCTTTCACACGAGTTCAGTGCATATCTTTAACTTAGTGTATCTTTCAGCTTTTCTATGTGCTCGGTTTATATTTTATTGCTTTCTCTATTGCTCTAGTGCTCGCGTCTTGCGATTGCGATAGAAAAGTTGTCGCACATGCTTAGATATGCAATACGCATATTAAGTTACGCAATACGGCATAAATGACGTATGTTGAAATATTATTGAAATACGACAATGCGCTAAGTACGGCTGTCACGTTTGCATTACAAATTCACTTGCGAACTGCTGAACCTGATTAAATCTGGATTCGACCGACCGTTGCCTCAACGAGGCGCGCTTAAAAACAGGATTCTTACTCATGCATACGTTTTAGGTTCCATGTCGATTCAAGTGTCGATCCTCCTCTCTCTTTCTCTCTCGACCATCAGATTCTTCGTTTGACTGCTCATTCGCACAGCATGGTATCTCGCGAGTCAAGCACCTATGTGTGTATGCGTATGTAAATGCTGAGTACATATAAAGCTGGATTTTATAGCGCGCGTAAGTAGGCAAGTCCTCTCCTTTTCTCCGTAGAAGATCCTCGTCATCGGAAGATTTGGGTCTCCCGGAACGAAATTCTTGAAGGCGTGCTCGGAATAGACCGTCTCGCTCTCACTCACGATTTTTGATAGGACTATAAGGATCCATTTCGAGGCCGCTTTCTCCTAATATTACACATAGCCCGCCTTTCTATCGATACATCTTTTTGGGACATCAAAGAGGTAGAACGAGTTTCCGTTTCGTTGCTCACGTACGCTATACGCGCCGTCCATGATAATCGCATTAATTTTTTACCAATATATTTATGCTAGAAATTCTCATTCAAGAGACATTTTTCTTTCGAAATGAGAAATCTCATTCGTATTGAAAAAACGATATCCTTAACAAATGGATACTAAAATTACAATGCGACAATAAATTGTAATAATATTTTCTAACATTCGGATTTATAAATATTTTTTTATAATTAAATTATAAATGTCGCATTTACCTTTTCAAAAGCAAAATATTTTTATTCTGACGGAACAATAGCAGCGATACTTAAATTGCAATTTTTATGTCCAAACAATTGTCATTGAATGCTATAAAATATTTGAGCAGATTTGCTCGACCGTAAAATCTTCGCGTACTGTTACGTTTTGGATTTTTCAGTCGAGCAAATTCAAGTAGAAGGATATAATTGATCGATCGAATTTGGCCGGAGTCGTGCACGACGTAAGAACTCGACGGGATTGCTGTTTGCGAACGGACGGCGGAGATTCAGCCGGGCGTTGACTAAACTTACGCGAGCGCGACAGATGAGTCGCCGGGATTAAACGGTCGAAGAAGTGAAGCGACGCTTCGTAGTGGCCCGCGGTCGTTGAAAACTGTCTGCGGCGCTTCACTTCTTCCCTCGCACGTTTTTATCTCCCCGCTTTTCAAAATATATAGTCAGGAGACGTCAATCAACGAGTACACAGGGGAATCCTGCGCGCTCTCCGTGCTAAAAGGTCAATCGCGTGGCTAAAAATAACCGGCGAAAGTAATTGAGCTGAGAAAAATTCGATAAACGAAGGCAGCTCGCCGGGTCTTTCACGGAAGAGTAAAAAATGAATGAACACAACTCTCCGACAACGACCCTCGTAGAAGGAATTTTTGAATATTGGTTTATTTCCCCGAATGAATTATCTGCGAAATGCGTCACACGCGACCGCCTAAAGTCAAATAACGCCGCTGCATTCCATCTCCTAGAATTTTAATGGACACACATTCGAATATGGCATTGCGCCAATACTAACTCCAATTCCCGAGCGAAATTAAAGCGAATTTGCGTTCGGGTAACATTAGTTGCCTCGCAAATGCGCCGCTCGCCGCGTTATTAATTAGATTGAATGAAGTATCTTTTCAGCCCGTCACGGTATTCAACAAATCAATTGCTCACGAATTACATTTCGCTCGTTATTGCGGCATCTCGATATTCGCAGAAACCGGAGATTTGCGTCGAATGATTTTCACATGAGGCTCGATTACACGAGAAGATTTATTTACCGGAAGTGCTTTTGGGCTGCGCCGCGCAATTTTCGTGCGATTCGCAAATGCCGAAACAAATATGGCGAGAGAGACGAGAACGTTCACTCGCACTTTCGCGTATTATCTACCGTTCGTCGTTATCCCTCGGCGTACGCCCGGCTACCACAAGCCATTTCCGGATGGACGAGTTAGCACCATGCGGGTGAGAAATGTAGGTCAGCTCAGTTAACTGCCGGTTGGAGCCTCGTTCTTATCGGTCGCGGTTTTACGCAAACGCAGGCAAATGTGGAGCGCAAAGATTTCGAGAAATGAAAATGAAAGTGACGAAGCGTGCGAATAAACGCGTGAGTCATAAATCGCGCGTAGACAAGCGCTCGCTCGTTTTGTTCCACGAAAAGTATTCGTTATCGTATGCAACCGTTGTATTCTTTACATTTGACTCCGAAGACTCCGCGTCGAAGATTACGCGGTATCTTGCGCGCCGTAAAAATCCAGATAGACCTTTTACGAGGGACAATCCGTTTTCCACGCGAAGTATCATGACAAATGCGGCTCCGGCGCTTCCGTATTCCGCGCGAGTATTACGAAATCTCGTGCATTGGCTCTCCACTCCCGACGCCGCGGCGCATCACGTCAGCGTATGTGGAGGACAATTCGCGAAATTGGACTTAGGAAAGATCAGCAGAGTCCGTACGCCGTGACTCAATTCTCAAGCGGAGCGTTCCCGTTTCAAGCGACTTCTGCGATTCCCTCCCGTGCGATTTTTCGAAATTGGAGCCAGTTCGACGCTCGCGGCACCGCGCGCCGCCGCACGCTTCTGGTTTCCGTCGGGATCTCGCGACGCGCGTCGCGAGATCCCGTGTTATTCGAGTCACGAGCCGAGTATCCATATCCCCGTCTTCCTCCCCTCGCCTCCCCCCCCCTTTTCACCACGTTCCGATCGTATGACGGATGGCTCGCGTTTCCATTGTCTCGCTCCGCGCCGCGACACCGATTGACGAGGAAAAATTTGACTCTGTGGAAAAAAAATCGACGGCTGCGACCTTGCGAGCATTGTTTGCGCCAGGTATTTCGGCGTTTCCCGGCGGACGCAGCCGCCGTGAAAGTTTTATGCGCAGCCTTTTTGCGACTCGTCTCCGCGCTGTCACCGGCGCTTTGTGCAGCGTCGAAATAAACTGCGCGCCGCCGATGAATCGCTGTCGCGAAGCTTCGGGGAATGCGGGCGCCATTTCGTCACGGCGAATATCGTTCGCATCACTTTCTCGTGTGTATCGGCGCATCTAATTTTAGTCTGTTCATTACAAATATTTTTTAATCAAATCTCCATTCACGACGTGCGACGAGAGAGAGCGCTCTCGCCCTGCCGCGCGTGTCTTTCACCTGCGCCGCGAGGCTCCTAACTGCCTCACGAAGAGAAGGAGAGACAGAGAGAAGGAGCGAAGGAACGCGAAAGGGAGCAGGAACGATGGGACGCGCGGTGGGGGGAGCAATGCCGTCCACGGTGGGCCTGTTTGGGCCTGACGTCGCGTATGCGAGGGGAAGACGAGGGGAGGGAGGGGAGGGGGGGGGGGGCGGATGGACGAGCGCGATCGAGATCTTCAGTAGGTCACTGGGACGTGGCTCGTGGCCGAGACGAGCGTGGCTCGCACCTTCAGTCGGTCCCCGTCGGCCAGGAAAATCACCTCTGGGCCCGTCGAATCCGAGAGCGCGACGTTGAAAAAAAAAGAGGAAACACAAAAGCGGAGAAAAATTTGGGAAAGGGAAAAAGCGTGTAACGGGCCCGATGAAGACCATCTGACGCGAGTTGTTGGAGTTTTTCCGTCGCGCTCGGTGCGCCCGTGAGTTTCGTTAAGGGGGAAGGACAGGTGGTTTCCGCGGGGGGATTATCCAGGTGATTCTTTTCGGTAGAGCGAGGCTTCCGGGAGCAGGACGAGCACGCAACGAGGTGCATCGATCAATTGTCTTTTCGCCGCCGGACTTTTTTCCGAAGGAAACTCGCGCGCGCGCGCGCGCGCTTCCGTCTGTTCGCGTCCGACGAATTGAACTGTTAGTTTTTCACGAAGATTCCTGCCGAGACAGACGTTATTTTCGTGAAAAGAAAAATCATCGGCTTTTCTCTCGCAATCGCGGATTGCGATTTGAGTAATTCTTGTATTTTTCAAAGAGCAGAGAAAGAGAACGTGGTGCGGTGATCTGACGCGGTGTTGCGCGAGTGTGGATTTATCTTCAGAGCGAAATAGATTCTAAAGACGCTTTCGATTCCAAGTTCCGTGTTCCGAAATGTGGGTTAAATGTTTCGTTGCGTAATGTTCTTCGTGCAGTCTGTGACGAGTGGATATGCCACTTGCGCATCCGGCTAGCGACGACTCGAGTCGACAACTACGTGACAATCTTGTGACCGCGTTGTTTCTTTCCTTTGCGTTTCTTGTCTAATAAATTTGTTCAGTCGTATATCAGTCGTTTGGGACCCCCTATTTTTCTTCGATAAACGGAAAACGTTAATGCCGTCTCACGGTCGAATTCATGTCACTCGTGTAGCCAAAGAGTTTTTGGAAGAACTTAGTTCACATTCAGATAGATTGAAACTCAGAATGCAGGTGTGGTTACGCATTTTTCAGGGTTTTCTTTTTATTGCAGAAAGGACACGCACATGATGGAGAAGACGTGGCGGAATATACGGAAGACAGCTTTTATCTTACTGCTGCCCTTGTTATTGGCTGTGAGTAAAGTTATCATCCTCTTAATTAAGTATCATTCATTTTTCATTCATTTCATGAAACACTTCGGCGCTCTCAGCTCATTTTTTTTTTAAACTTTCAAATCCAGCGATCATAATTCATCATTCTTCGAGATAATCGAATAAGCGGCGCGCCATCGGCAAATTTTGCGAATTGGCTTTATAAATAAACTATCCCAGCAATCGTATTGGCAATTTTCTAATTTCGCCAGAGAGCGATTACCGCCCGCGCGCATGTCGCACATTCGCGATGCCTCGCAGTAAATCTGCACGCCACGACGATCGACATTGCAATTTCACTGTGCAATAATTCTCTAGTTGAACGACGAAGATTACTATTCGCGGTCGGTGCGTATTCTCCCCCTTTAAAGTGACAGACAGGTCGTTAATACGGTAACCGTTATGCCGCGTCGCGTAAAGCGGGTGATGCTATTTACGCACCTGTCCGCGCAGCGTGTACATTGTGCATCTTCACGTGACGTTTGGCGGATTATACGCGCTTAGAAACCGAATTATTAGCGCGATGCAATATGCAGAAGTACAATTACGACCAGCATCATGTCGGCGAGCCAGCTAACTCTCCCGCCATTCAATTGAATCCGCTCGTCCGAGTCCGAGAAACGTTACATCGGTTTCATCACCGTGAAAACGTTCCGTATGAATTTTTTGCCCGACGACGCGAGTAATCGACTTTCATCCCGCGAAACAATTTGTTCTTTCCGAGAAATTTTTCAGACAAAGAAATTCACACTCTTGACACTTGATATTTATTTTTTTTCTTTTAATCGAAACCATCTCCCACTTCATCCACCGCGCAAACACTCTCGAATCGTTGAATTTACTTTACGGTCTCCGGGGTTAAGAGATATCATCCCACGCGGGGAAATGTAAATCCGCAATGAATTGATAAAGCTCGAGGAACCCGGCGGTATTTCTGACAGGGGACGATCGACGACCGTTAAAAATTGATGTAACCGTTAAAAAATTCATCCGGTCTCCGGCAAAAAGTGATACTTCATTGATGCCCAACGTCTCTGCGGGACCGCTATACGACGTGTGCACGTGCCGCTGGCCGAGAATCAACACGATGTTAAGTTAATGCTTAAGAGGAATCACCGTGGCCGCGGGCAGTGCCTGTGCCACATATATAGCCGCGGCGCTGACGCTCGCCGAGGCAAAAATCTTGAATGAAGCGGCCGCGCCGCGTAATCGGTAAACACGCTCGCGGGGACGTATTGTTAACGAATGATAATTGTCTAATGATTGTCTTCGTCTGCGTGGGAATTGCTCGCCCCACGTGGGAGAAATTGAATAATCAGCCGTTTGAGCGAGCCTTCGTCAATGATGGCGGCAAACTACATTGCACGATTACCTCATGTAACTATGTTTTCGTGTTATCATACATTAAATTACACGTATGCTTGTCGTTTGATCGCGGACACTTTTTTTTCTTTCTTTCTGTTTTTTCTGCGCATGAAATCTCACGGCTTTTCGATACTTCCGGAACCTTCAGTGACGTATTGCGCGCTCCCGATTGCAGAGAACGTAAAAAAATTACGCAGCGTGCTTTTGATAGTTTGATCCATCGCGACAGTTTGTCAATTTCTGCAAAAATGACGAATGAGTAAAAAGGTAGCTGTGATAATATTAAATTTTGTGCCACATAACTGTGACATATATATAGAAAAAGACCGGCGTTTATTTTCTTAGATCGCAAAGATCAAATTTCCGAGCTTTTTTCTTTTTATTTATACACTCGTTTTAATTATACAGTCGACGTATAACTGGAAACGAGGCGGCGCGAAGGCGGGGGGGAAAGATATCGAACGCAGCGAGCTTAAACGTTCTTAATAATTGATGAGAGAAAACGCGGTGAGAAACGAAATAAGAATCGCGATGAACTAGTTCGCGCGCGCACAACCGTCCAATTCGCCGCCGATATTTCGAGATTTATCGGGCAAAACGGGCGAGGGGGCGCGTCGCCCGAGCGCCGGCGAGGCGTGTGCCGACAATTGACGTGTTTCCTCTCGCGCGAAAGCGCGAAACACGCCGATATAATGACGCCGACGGTGCAGTCATCGAAGAGGCCCGGTGTGCGCATCTTCGCGTACCTGTTACATGCCTCCGCGCGATGCGTGCAACTCCCGTGTGCAGCTCTACACGCTCTAACCGCGCCGGTTGACTACATAGCCGAGCCGTCGAACCGAAGATAGTAGGTCACTGCGCCGGACGCAATGCTTTCTTTCGACTATACTCTTTAGACGGTACTCTCTCTTCTTCTGTTTCCCACTCGTCCTCACGTCTCTCCTTCTTCCCCCCCGCGTCATCGTTCACCCGCTACCTCCTTCATCCTCCGATCTCCTCCGCCGCTTCTCACGCTTTTTCTTTTCCCGCATCGTCCTCTCCCCTCTGCCGTCCTCTCCTCCCGCCGGCTCTATTTTCTTTCCGTTCCTTTCTTCATCCAGAATAGCGCAGCGGGCATAACTCCGCTCCATTCACATCAAACGATCATTATCGCCGCTGGTTTCCTTGGGAAAATCCAGGCGGAGGTGCCCGATATACCATTTATGGCTATTTCGAGTCGAATCAGTGCGGATTGAAAAGTCCTCCGGTTTTTACGTCGCGCACAACGGATTCGACAAGTGTGTAAACTCGGCGACATGATTCTCAAATCTTGTCTAATTGGGAAAAATTTTAGATCGTTTAAAGCTAATCTCAAAGCTTTTGAGAAAGAGGAAAGTTTGGAAAACAGCTTTCGTAGAGCCGATTTTATTAGTTTCGAAAAAAAAAAAGAGTAATAGTGATCGCCACTGTGTGTGAATCAGACAGTGAATCTTCATAGTTTCGATGAAATTGGAAAAATCTTTGAAGAACGCCGAGCGTTTTCACGGAAAATAGCGTCGCGGTTTGGCCGTAAAACGAAACTAATGCGTCCCGCTAATTCACACGAGCTATAGTTGGCGTGTGATCTTTTGAAGTCGCACCTTTGATCGCCGTTCTTCAAAGTCTTCATTTCCTCCAACGCCGCGCGTAACGTAAAGTGTCGCGAAAGCAATTTCGAATACATGCTGAATCACATTGGCGTGTAATGCCGATAAGAAATTGCCGTGTAGTCGCGGCCGTATTATTTTCCGAAGGATGATAAATAGGAACGGAAAAATGCATACTCTTTGTTTCGATTTATGTGATTTAAATGAAACGCGCGTTTGTAAAAGTGTAATGAAATGTGACGAACATCAGACGGAAAGTGCGCGTGATTGCACGTAGAGTGAACAGAAATACATAGTAGACGGACGTGATTGTTTTCGCCTCGCGAAAGCAAAGTACTGAAAGTTTTCAAAGACCGTTGTCAGACCGCCATTGACAACGAGTCGTAATGAATGGGAATGAAACGATCCCTACATTTGCGACTCTTAAGCAGCGTGTAATCTTGTGGGCGACCACAGGATTCCTCGCTGCTTAGCGATCTTGTAATTCGAGATCGTTTTGCCGTCCATTCACGTTGCCGTTTTCAACCGACGATCGATGCCGATCCTGTAATTACGCCACCGCCGCCTTACGGTGACGTATTACTTTTAATTGCATTTAATTCATCAGACGGAATACATTTCCCGCGTTCTTGAAAAATGAACGAGAATATAATGGTATTTTAATTTTTTTTAGAGAGATCCTCCGCGAATATCACGGTATATTCTGTCTTCATCGCGCGGAACAATAGATGTAATAAAAAGTAACTGCGGCGATAAGTTTAAATTTTTTAGAATAATGGAGTTTTCATTTTTAGCCGTGCTTTTATCCGCGAGAGACTTATTTCTAGTTCCATTTAGCGCATTTGCGGTGTCGTAACTCTCTAGATTCTTTGTGATTCGGGTTTATAGATGTATAAATTTCTATAAAAATATATCCGCAATATTACGTAGCGTCTTCAATTGCTTGTAAAATATTCTTTTATGGCACAAATAGCAGAAGTAACGTTTGCCGAGCACCTTCAAGCATTCATTGCATTAATTTATTGTGCACTTTAATCAATTTTTCACTATTTCGCAATCTTATGTAATTGTCGCGAACGATTGCAGCACGTTTCACGTACTTTGACGACAACACTTAAGTCGCATTGTTGACATTTTCGATTCAAAAACAGATTTTAATTGCACGCTAATTTGCCTCTGCCGGAATTAATTCTCCCTTAATTCCTCACTTCTCTCGTGCAACAATTTCATTGCTCCTTTACGGACAACGTGGAGCTTCTTCGACTGCTGAAGCGCCTGAGCTCAATCGGCGCATTTACATCGTTTGTATCTGAAGGCAAGGCGAATGTTAATAAAAATCCTTTCGATTCGCAATCTCGGCGAAGACCACCGAGGATATTGCGATGAACAATGCGCGAGGAGAGATACAGTTTTAATTAAAATTTATCAAAGTAAAAATAAATATTAAAAAAAAAAAACTTCGCATTGCGTATTGTTTCCAACTTTTGTTGCGAAGATTAACATTTTGAAAATCGTAATTATATCGCCGGCGGGATACATCATTTTTTATTAGCGTATATGAGAAAAAGCGGACACGCTCTTACGCGAGGCTCTCGCATTTTCCTGTTTTAATTGCGATACTTTTTCATGTCACGGTAAGGCGCATCAAAAGTTTCAGCAGTCAGGTCCACCATTTTACGCCGTGTAATCCCCGCGGAGTTGCGTAGGATTAAATTTAATCAGCATCTACGGAATGAAATTTTAATCATGAGAAAAGGACCATCGACACGAATGGGATCCGCGCGAGCGAACGCACCGAGGATTACCGTGGATAAAAGTTAGCAGGAGTTGCGCGCGATTGTTCCGCCGAATTCGCCGTGCGGCCGCGACGTTTTGCGCGCGATTGCGCGCATTTGACGTATCGCACGTTTCGTAGGCGCTGCAGCCAGCGTTTTTCTTAATTAAAACCGCCAGCGAGTTTTAGCCCCGCGAAAGTGCAACGCCCGTCGTCGGGTTCTCAGCCTGGTTCGCACGCGCTTTGTAGCTGCGCTTAATCGCCTCCTTTTAATTAGCCCGCGCGTCATCTTCCCGCGCTCGCGATACCTCGAAAAGGAAGAAAGGAAAGAAAAGAAGAAAAAAACGTTGACAATTTAGGTTTCCTGAACGGGGCGATCTGTAGGTCAGGTCTGCGCGGCGTTTCAGCGCAACTTATTCCACTCTACTTGGATCCTTCATTGGCCAAAGTGCCGCCATTATCAAAATACAAGTCGAACGGGAGACATTTGCGCGTCCGCGAAACATCGGTGGCTACAATCTAACGATCCCACTTAAGTTTCATCATCTCGCGCTATTTCCTTCATTGAATCGTGAATTTTCAGTTTAAGAATAATGCGCAGCCGACAACTTTGTGAGCCGCGGCTGTTTATAGATATAATATTCGCACCGGAGCGATCAATGTCGTCTATTTTAATTTTTGCAATGAAGACAAGCGCGTTTCACGCGTAACATATTCCACCTTCCACCTGAATCGGCTGTTCCAATTCCGCATCATCGATACGCATCGCCGCCGCAGATATGTAATCGTTCGCTAATATGCAACACAATTTTTGGCATCCGCTCGTAACCGTATTATCTTGTTTAACGGGAATCACTTTATTGATTTATGCCGGAGAGCACGACTGGACCTTGTTTCAGAAGTGTGCGACTGATAAATCGTTACGTGACTGACTGAAAGCGCCGCGAATATTATTTTGCGAAATGTAAGCCAACGTTGCGGAATCCTTCGCGAATTACTTCGATTTCAATGCCCGACGCCGAGTGCAGCCGCATAATAGCCTTATCGAAACGTACGCGACATGTAGGCACCTCCGTCCACGTTGACTGACCCGGCCTACTTTTTCGCCACCATATATAGCCGAAGAGACATCGCTCGTATTACGACTCGAAAGTTTCTCTCCGTGAAAATTTGTTATCTTATTTTTGATAGCGGCCTGTCGAAACCCGCCGACCCGCAGAAAACCCGCCATGTTTTCTAAACGG